ATTGGGATTCATTTCGTAATTTTCTTCGAGACACCCCTTGAATTGATATTCTTAACCTTCCTGATTAGTTCTGTACCAACTCGTTGCGTCTTCACGTGAAGTGGAAAGATTATAATGAATCTATGTCTAGGTCCGCCGTTAGGAAAGTTCGTTCACTGTGCCGTGCTAGACGTGGATAGTGTGTGGATATTGATGTTAAAAACCGAGTGGTGTCAGTCTGTTTCATGCTTGGGTGGATTCTTTAGGCAATCTTCAAAACAGCATAAAACAGACTATTGCTAATTTCGGTACTGTCACTTCTAATATTTATACACACTCAAGCATCGATATTGAGCATTTTCACAACATAAATATAGCTTACCTTAAAACTAGATAGATAGATAGATAGATAGATAAAGAGCGAGATAGAGGTAAGTAAATGGAGTCAATAGATTATTTTGAAAATGCAATAATTACTTATCAAAATGTAAGTTTAAATCTAATATTTTGATTAATTCAGTATGTAATATCGATAAAACCAAAAAAAAAATGATTTTTTTAGCGAAAACGTAAACATTCTCAAAGAAATTTGTGCGCTTGGTTTGAAATAATCTAAAAAATATCCATTTTGCTATCAAAATACACCGGATGAAAATTAATATATGTTCCACTAACATTTAATGATGTGTGTATGTGTCCATGATTAAAAAATAAATCATTCGTTACGTTGTCGAAAACAAGAGAAACTACTTAAAAAATTAGCAAAGTCTTCCTTGTCTATTGTATTCAATAATACCTTCATATCTACACACACACACACACACACACACACACATATATATAAAGTGTGTTCAGAAAAGAATTACGTATTTCACCTCTATGCAATGTTGAATGATTTGAAACTTTAACTAAAATTACTTTTCACCTCTTCTATCTAATATTGACTCGTTTATGGTATATTTCAGATTTTAACCCAAACAAGAATTATATACTTAAAAAGCATATTCCCTCTTCCTTATTGCAGGAACTCCAAAAAGATGGTACTCTCGCAGAGGCATTTAAAAATATTTATGCAATATATACGTATATAGTGAATGGTTGAAAACGTCGGTTACGCTGTAGAATGTTTAAAGCCTCGGTTTTCGAGAAGAACTACTCCAAATGAAGAATTTCTTTTACGTAAAAAATGAGAAACCCATATCAAAAACACAGAAGTCATTGACTTATGTTTACTAGAATATGAAAGATACCGTCCATTACGAATTAGTGGATCATAGAAGGAACATCACTACAGACGTTTACTGCTAACGTCTTGATCGGCTAAACGAAGCCTTACGTCAAAAATGTCTTCATTTTTTAAAGAGAAATGGCTTTATTCTCCAGCATGCCAAAAGAGGAGCACATTCTGCAAAACAAACAAAAGAGAAATAGGATCGCGAGGAGGTGGGGGTCTAAAACATCCTCCATAATCATCAGGCAGTACTTAACGATTTTTGTTTTTTCAATCACTAGAATATGTCATCAGTGGCAGAACAAAGTAGTTAAAAAGTGTGTTTCAGAATTTTTCTGATAAAAATCCAATTTTCTTTTTCGCAAAATCGAAAATTTGACTTGGACTGCAATCGTTGGAAATAAAAGCGACTAGAATTTTTATAAATAATATTTGAATAAATTTAACTTAAATTTGTTTTTATATAATTTCTAATAAAACTAATTCACTTTCCGACCGACCTCAGTTGATGATACACCTGACGAGTGGGCAGAAGGGTTTGTTGACGAAACTCTGGAGTCGTGATACTGAAGGTAACATCAATCAGCTATGTGACAAATCTTTTACTTACATTAATTCTTTCTCTCTCCCCCCTCTCTCTCTCTCTCTCTCTCTATCTATCTATCTATCTATCTATCTACCTACATATATATATTATTTTTGTGGATACTCATATTTTAATCGGCACTTCATTTATTTGTTAAACAGTACATGTATTTATTTTTATCTACCATCCGGAATATTCGAGAAATCTGACTGAAGAAAAATAGGTGTTCTCCGGCAGGATTTGAACCTGTGTCCCCAAGGCATGGGGGCGCTGACGTTAAGCTCCATGCGCTCTAACCAACTTAGACACGGAGATGGTTTAGCCAGACGAGGTCAAATGTTGGGCCTTTAAACGAAATTTCCCTCGTCATAGACATCTCGGAATTATCTTATATCTGTTCAGTTTCATATCCAAATGTAAACAAAGAGTATTCAAATTCTAGCGAGGAGCGTAAATTTATCTTTAATAAGATTTCTCGGACATTCAGGCCGGTAGACGAGAACAAATAAATATAGTTTCATTAAAAAAAATGGGAAGTTTACTCAGAGGTTATGTCAATGTTTCAAACCTAGAAGCAGTCATCAATACTAACAGTGTATTCATTATGTAAATGCGACAAGAAATGTCTCAAGATGATTAATATTATTTTTCCCAAATAAATCTCATTTTTCATGACATGCGTCTCTTATTAAATGAAAAATTATATATATATATATATATATATATATATAAAGGGAAGAGGTTATAGTAGTTCCAAGGAGAGAAAAGTGCGTTTTTGGTTGTAATGTGGATTTACACCCTAAAATCAAATTCACCCCAAAATATAATTTCAACGAATTACTACTTTTAGATATACTCATAAGAAATAAAAACAAACACATAATCACAGATATCTACCACAAACCTACAGACACCCAACAATATCTCCATTCCAAGAGCCATCATGCAAAAAGCTGCTTGAAATCAATCCCCTATACTCTAGCACGTAGGGTTTGTACTATAGTGACTGACAAACACCTTCGAAAAACCCGCTTAGAAGAACTACATAGAATAAGAAAAAAAAAGAAAAAAACAGGCTATCCCCACAACACTAATAAACAAAGGTTTTAAACTCGCAAAAAAATTCCTTTAGACCAACTTCGAAATAAAAAGAAACGTAAAATAGATAGGTATCAGCAAACAACTGATCAACAGGGTATCCCTACACAAAAGCAACTTAAAATTATCAGACTACAGAAAACATTTTTTATCGCAACACATCAAACAGACAATTATTCTTACCTACAAATACAAGAAAAAACTTCATAAACAAATTTAAACCAGAACTAAACAAATCATAACCCCACACGCAAAAAGACACAACATGCGCACATAATGGCCAAATACAGTGATCAAGCGACTCGCATGCATGCACACACGCTCACATGCGTGGGTCTGTGGAGCACGAATATATATATATACACATATTGACAAAAGCAAGGGACTACCCACGGGCACGCGCGCCGACCCCACACAACTTAGGAAGTATATGTATATGTATGTACCTGTATGAATGTATGTGTGTGTGTGAGTAAACTGATTCCTTTTAACTTGGGATGTATATGTATGTACGTATGTATGTGTGTGTGTATATATACTGATTCCTTTTTATAGGACATTATGTGTATGTAGAGAGGAGGTGCGCATATACATGCGCATGCTGATATATATATATATATATATATATATATATATATATATATATATACTTATTGGCAAAAACAACTGGCACAGACGCGTGCACTACACAGCATAGGAAGTGTGTGTATGTGTGTGTGTATATGTACAAATGCGTTTACTAATTCCTCTTAATAAGACGGTGTGTATATATGGAGAGGGAATGTACATACGCATGCTGACAAAACAAGAAAATGGAATTAGATCTAAGAACACACAGGGGGTCATAAAAAGATAAGAATGCCGATAAGTACTTCACCATTTCTCGGACCAATCTTAATTGTTTTATAAACCTTCACGCAGAACTTTTCACTGCTAATTCAGAAAGACATTTGGGTCACTAACACACACAAAAGAGAATGTCTCATATCGAGAATATTTAACATCGAAAAACAAGAAAAAATTAATTATTTTTAATAATATATGGAAATTTCCACCCTTTGCCTGATGAAGGTCGCGAAACCCGTGTAGCAAAATTATGGAAAATGAAGCCTAATAATTTTAAAAATCAACATTACAACCAAAAACGTTTGCGGTTTTTCTCTTCTTATATATATATATATATATATATATATATATATATATATATATATATATATATTAATTAACTTATATTGCCCTTAAAAAAAAAAAAAAATTTCTTTCTTAATATTAAAGATGCCAATATTGCTTACAACCCTGCTTACATTATTTACTTCTTTTTACTCCCGAGTTCTGATCTAAATGCTCAGATGTTTAATACTTCCAGGACAGAAAAGGTTTTAACTAAAGCCATTAATAAGAGAATTGCTTTTTATAAAAATACGGAAAAACAGTTCGAAAATGAATGACAAAATATAGATATTTTTAAACCTTATTTATAAAGGTAAATATGCAGTTCTTTTATCTCTTTTAAAAATGTATAGGTAGATATAAATGGCAAAACCCACATTTCTGTGAGTTTAAAATGATTAGATTTAAACTATACACCTCTTTATTCCGACACCCTCAGAACAAAGCTAGAGTTAATCCCTGCCCCACTGAGCGTCCCCATGAGGGTATTGGACTGATTTAGGCTTCTGGTCACACGAATGCATACGACTCTGATTTTAAGCACAGGTTTATAACTCATTCGGTTTGGCTCGGCTTTAGAATAGATCCCATAAAACGCTTCAAGCGGAGCGGGGGTGGGGGTCATCACTGCAGACATTACTGCCTAGGAGGATGCTACAGTTATTCCCTCTCCGCTTGAATGCGTCCCCAAAAATGGGACGAATTCCTAGATTGCATGATTCATTTTTGTCCCGAGAAACATGTACGAGTGGGACAGTTACTTTAAACTCAACATTCTGCCATGTTTCGATCGAGTGGAAGTGCAGATTAATACCGCATTTATTTGAGTCGCAGTTTTACATAAGGCGTACACGCACGCACACACACAACTATTTTATATATATATTTAATTAATTTTAGGGGTTTCGTGAGAACAAAAACTTTGAATTTCATATATTAGAAGCTAGCTAGATAGATAGATAGAAAGAAAGATAATTTATGAATAGACTGAGATAGACATGTATAGATAGATAGATAGATAGTGTTGTGAATGTTACCTTTCGACATAAATGAAGCATATGGCTGTGAAGGCGGTTCGCTTAAAAGAAAAAAAATGATATTTACTTTTCAGGGACCAAATCACATAGACAACATATAGAAAACAAACAAAAGAAGTAAAGTTATATTTAATTTAATGTAATAAATATATAGTGTGGGAGAAGGAAATGTTAAACAGGGAGAAAGGAAAGAAAATATAAAAAACTATCATGAGAGAAATCTTCAATGTTTACTTATCTATCGAATCATATTATCGACGATTTCGTTAATCATTATTTCCTTTTTTTTTTCTTTTATGAATAGTTCGGAGTAGATAGATCTTGTCTTGTCTGGGTTGAGACGTTTCCTTTCATATGTAATATTATTTCGGTCATTCAGCGTAGTTTATTGGTTTGGTTATCGTACTGAAAAAGCATTGCTTTTATTCACGGATGATATAGGCTAGTTTGGCCCCGGAGTTCCTGATTATCATGGAAGATTTCAACTTTCCGTCTCTAGAGGATCGGGAGACAAACTTATGTAAAAGTCAGCCCACGTAGAAAGAATTAAATGTTTTGCCGTCTTCTCGATGCAGCGGCTTTTATCTGACCAGTTAGTGTAGTGACGCGCCCAATTGTTGAATGGTACATATGAAATTAACAATCATTTAACGCAACATATGAAATTTACAGTTCAACTATTGAACCAATTCAAACGCGGCCAACGCTGTATTTGTAACAAATAGAAGGAAAGAAAAATTTAATAATTTTAGGATGGGAATTTATATTTAAAGAGAGTCATGTCACGATAGATAGATAGATAGATAGATAGAAAATGAGACATGGTATTCAAATATCACACTAACAATGGGTTGTTGAATGACACAATGGAATAAATTCTTCTTTAGCGTAACACAGATTTTTTTCTTATTTTGACATTCAACTACTCACGATAGATAGATAGATAGATAGATAGATATACACGGTATACGGATATGTGTTTGCGTGAGAGAGAGAGAGAGGTGGGGGGGAAAGAGAGAGACTGATTTGTTTTCTTTTCAGGTTACTTAAAGCCAGAACATTCTTTTAGAGTGTAATTTTTTTTTTAGATAATAATAATTTATTGATACAAGTTTTACTAATTAGGCACTAGCTGTTTGGATTCGTACCTTACCTAATGATATTTGCGGGTACTCAAATATATGGAAACCAGGTGCAATTGAAACTTGGCTCGCTGATTAAGAATTTCGGGCCATTATCCATTACACCAACTGCACACCGCTATTCTCAAACTACTAGTTACTAAGCTTGATGTTGCTAAACCTCGGTGATCGTATGGGAATCGGTGTTACAACGCGATATGGCCTTAAGCCGAGAGAGAGAGAGAGAGAAAGAAAGAAAGAAAGAGACAAAGTCAATAACGATGGAGCAAGTGAGAGAATGAATCAGTTTCAAAAGGAGAAAGTTGGGGTCATTATAAAAATAGTGTGAACAAACATTTCGAGTGTATGGGAGTAACAATTCGAAAATATTGTTGTTTTGAAAACAGTGACTTAAAAATATGCACAGCCTAAAGAACTACAATGTATTATAGCAAAAAATAAAGATTATTTGTGGTGTTGGAAAGAAGAAAACATCAACATCCAAATTTAGATTTCGGATAACTGCAATAAATATTTTTCATAGAAATCTGCAAAATAAATATATATAAATTCTAGTACTTATACACATATGTAAATATAGCAGGAGCTGAAAGCAACATATACAGATGGATAAATTGTCGCCATTTCATATTTTTACTTTTGCGCATGCGCGTTGTTTGTTTTTGATTTTCTTGACTGCAGTCTCGTAGGTTCTGTTGGTCACTGTCTGTGCGAAAAAAAGCACCATGACGCAATTTATTCCGTCAGAAATTTGGAAACGGCATGTTATACTGCTTGGCATTCGCGTCAGAAGCTCCAATATGAACATTTCAGAGTGGTTGCGTGTAAATCAGAGGACAGTGCCGAGGATTAGGAAAAAGTTGAATAAGTCTAATGGTGGTTGCGAAGGTACGGCATGTCAGAAAACTCATTCTGAACATTCTGAACAAAAGATCTACCTGAGTTGTTGCCGAGTGCCTCAGACTCAAACAGGGTGACCTACATCAAGTGTCTTGAGGACGTAGTACTCCCTGTGTCAAGAGGATATATATATATATATATATATATATATATATATATATATATATATATATAATTGACTCTTCTGTCGGTTTCGATGTATAAGAATCTGACAACTTAACTAATTGACTCAGTTATGAAAGTTTGTGCGATAATCTTAAGTGGCATTTAAAACCCGCTAGTGATTTACAAAGGTGGTTACATATGGAGCAAGAGATTGGATTGTTGGATGAGATCAATCTTAGATTGGCTGACCTTTTAGATCTTGCTCTCACTTCTTGAAGATGATTCAGACAAGCAGGTAGAGTCCACTAAAACACGTTGATCTCTATACTATCCGCTCCAAGGCTAAGCGCTCAAGGGTGTTATGTGGTATATTGACAGCTGACAAGTTGCTTTTCATCTTGTCTTTGTATATTAGATATGGGCGTCCTACATTCCTGTAGCCCTGATCTAACTGGCTGTATATTAGGATCTTCTCAAGACATGACCAATCTACCGTCACAGAAACTGTATGAGGAAGGAATCGAGTCCTCCAATATTACACCTGTTAAACAGGTCTACGTTAGAGGTCCTATCTTGAAGCTTAACTCCAGATTGCACGCAGACAGCTTTTATGGAAAACATCTAGCTGGCGTATATGGTACCTGTATGAAGTCCACGACTCTGAGCCATACAAAAGGATGGCAAGTACAACAGCTCTGTAAACCCGAATTTTCGTATCTAGTCGAATACCCCGCTCATTCCACAAGCGATGGCGAAGTTTGCCGAAATCACTGGTAGCCTTAGCAATTCGATGCATAATTTCATCATCTAAAGTTCCATTGTAGTTGACTTTGCTACCAAGATAGCTAAAAGACTTTACATAGTTCAGAGCTTTGTCTTCTACTTTCAATGTTCTCTCAAGAAATTTGTAGACTGGTGTTTTTTTTTCTCACCACAGAATTGCTTCGGAGTAAGACAAGGTTGGTACACTACTTCAGTTTTCTTTATATCGCTACAAGAGCAACATCATCAGAAAACAACAAATCACGAATAATTTGCGTATAAAGGTGGGTCTTGACTTTGAAGCGCTGATAATTGAAGAGCCGACCAGTTGTTCGAAACTGAAATTTGACGCCGCTCTCTGTGTCTGCGAATGCATATTTCAGCATCACCAAGAAAAGGGCAAAAAGGACAGGAGCCGTGACACAACCTTGCTTGGTGCCATTTGTGCTATCAAAGGATTCTGCCATCATATCATTAGACACGATATTAGCTTTCATTCCTTCATGAAAGAAGAAGATGATCTTTAATATATATATATATATATATATATATATATATATATATATATATATATATATATATATATATATATATATATATATATATATATATATATATATATATATATATATATATATATATATATATATATATATATATATATATATATATATATATATATATATATATATATATATATATATATATATATATATATATATATATATATATATATATATATATAATCGACTCTCCCGTCGCGTTCGACGTATGAGGTCAGGCCGATAAGTCCCCAGGAAACCGACATCCCGACACCGGCACATGAGATTTGTTTATAGTGGTGAAGGTCTCGTGCAGGACCATCCACACTTTTTGGAGGGACGAATACAGAAACCTGGTGCACCGAATGCATGCCACAAGGTTCCCAAACGACCCTCCGCAGGTTTTGAATTCAGAGTTGTCCTTCTCCTAGACCAGTTGCCATCCAAGGCTAAAGAACCCAGTCTGTCCTGCTATTTTACCCATAGCTGGAGGGAGATGAAGAGGATACATACCTTTCCCAAGGGTATTAGCACGTAAGTGAATGTAATGTATATATATATATGCATATATATATATATATATATATATATATATATATATATGTATATATATATGCACATATATATAGTTCGTTAGATTATAAGACAGAGATATAATGTGTGCAATATAGGTCGAAATTATTTTATTAATAAAAAATATATGGACAAAGTGCGTCTTGTGTTGTCATCTCTTTTTATAAGGGTATGAGCGTATTTCTCTGTGTGTTTATCGTAGAACAAAAAGAAAAGTAAAAAATCTCAGATCCTTTTTAGAAAGGCATAAACAGAATTATGTCTAGCAATGAACTCGAATATTGAGCTGAGATTGAAGAACACGAGAAAAGCAATTTGATCTATTCGCATAAAACCGTTAAACATCAGTGAGTATTTACACTATTCACATTTTCGGGTTTTTTGTCCTCATCTTTGTTGTTATATTCACGGCATTATGGCCGTTGTACGCTCTGGCCTTCTTCAGGTGATTGGAATTGCAAACTGAACTCGTTACTTTGTCCTTAAAAAAGAAAGTCATCCTGATGTTATATAGAGCACAGATCTTTTATTTCTGTTGACGAAATAAAGGGTTCTACTCGAAATTCCAATCACCTAAAGAATGCCGGAGCCTACAATGGCGGAAACGTCGTGAATATGGCAACAAAGATGAGGACAATATCCCGAACAATGTAAATAGTGTAAATAATTATAATACTTCATCTCCAAAATATAGACAGATACTTCTGAGAGTATCTGTTACATTGGATTGGCAAGATTAAGCAACATAAATGCCAAAAATAATTTTTATATGCGTCATTTTAGGATTAATCCCTGGAATATCCTAGTATATTCTCCCCGTTCCCGTTCCTCGTTGTTCCCAACACTTCACGACTTAAATACGCTTCAGAAAATACTTTAACGATATCAACCGTAAACTGTTTCTGACGAAGATGAAAAATTGTAATGAATCCACAGATATTTTCTGGGTAATCTTTCTTCTCCTGTCCCTAAAAATAGAACACACTGATCTATTTAAAAAGAAAATATACCCCCAGAGGGATAGATCTAACTGATATATTGTCATTCATGAGTAATAATCGAGTGTTACTGACGATATTAACGCCGTAGTAGAGGTGGGTGGGGCATATTAAACACAGTCAAATGCGAGATGGTATTAGTATGATGGCAGACTAGACTGTTCTTGTAGACTCCATAACTGATTCTAATCATTTGGGAAAGCTGATAGATTGTTTGGCGACAGTTAACGTAGATGATTCACTTTTTACCTCCGGTTTCTCTTGCCTTGCTGATATTTGATTACAGTGAATCTCAACATCTTGAGTCGATAGTCGGCCTTGAATCGCATGTTCTACTAAAAAACTATTCAACCTAAAGAATATTCGCAAAAAGCCTAGTGAAGTATTTCAAGGACCTCAGTAACACATCTGCCTAGTTTTAAGCCAAAAACTTTCTCAGAACTGTTTCAACATAAGACGATACAAAACCATAAGTAAGAATTTAACATGACATCCATTGATAACACGAGGCCTGGCTCAATAGGCACCAATTAGCGTTAAATACCCGCGAATTTATGTTAAATTGTGCTATGTTTACGCCATTTTTGTGCGTGAGCGTAATTTGTATTTATTTTCATATGCTTAATCCCATCAGGAATTTTAATGATGAAAAATGCGTTTATTTTAACAAAAGATATTCATTTTTCAATATAATCCCCTTCGTTGTCAATGCATTTAATTCAATGATGAATATTATTACACAGATTAAACATAATACAGGGAACATTTCAGATCGTATTTCAGATAATAATTTAAATGTGCCATGGATTTATTAATTCATTTACAAATAACACGAAATGCAAAAACAACAATATCGGTAATTAAAATAAAATATCTATGAATTCACTTTACCATTTCTAAATTCTATCAGAATTCTGATTTGGTACCATCATCCTCATCCTTTTTTCAAAATATTTAGGTCAATATAGTTTCCGTCCTTTGTGAACTATTCTTGAGTCGATGTATTCCAGGCCATTTTCAAGT